TATATATATATAGATATGCGTGTGTACGTATGTACACATACATTTATATTAACTCCATATAGACGTCTTCTTCCCCGTCGCACTGTACATGTATGTATGTATGTATGCATGCATGTATGCATGTATGCAGGTATGTAGGTCTGTAGGTATGTAGGTATTTATGTATGTATGCATGCATGTATGTATGTATGCACGTAGGTACGTATGTGTATCTTTGTGTATGTACTTATGGACGTATGTGTATGGATATGTTTCCACAATTGTATGCATGTGCATGCATGTGTATGTACGCGTTGCATTTGTGTAAAGCGCAATGTGCAGTATGTTTCAACCCTTTGCGTCGTCCGCCTCGACGCATATGTACATAAGCAGGCGCATTGTCAATTGTTTCGGAAAGCAAGATGTAGGTCACATAGGCGAGGTCATGCATGGATGATTGCGTTTGCTTCATAATCTGTTTTTTTATGAAAGTATTCGTTTGGGGGAGGCCGGTGAGGGGGGAGATGCGAGGAAGTGGGGAGGACAGGGGGACTCCTGTTCTTTGTCATGAGGCGTCTTTTGCTCATTGACCGGGTGTTAAAGTGTTGCGAAATGTGCGGGGGAGTCAAATTTTGCAACAAAGTGCATGACACAACCTCTGAGTTGTCGTACTTTTTGCATCGACTTCGCGAATGATGTAAGCTAGCCCGTCTTGGCCTGGCCGTAAGCAGAAGGCAAGGAAAAGGATGGGGAAAAGAGAAAGAAGCGGGGATGGTGGGGGCTGGCGGAACCGGGGCAGGGCCGGGAAGGTTGTCCGGGGGCGGGGGAATGCACCAGAACTGTTCATAACTGTTCGCACAGAAAAATCGCCCAAATCGGAAGGGGTGCTCCCGCAAGCCTAGTCTCCGCATTCGGAACCTCTGGATGTAGGGTTGCCAACGCGAAATCCAATGTTTACGGACGGGGGGGCGGGCCGACGAGCCCCGAAGGATTAAGAGGTGGGGAAGCAGGCACTCTTTGACCACTTCGGCCGGGGCCGAGGCGAACTAAGTTGGTGGAGTTAGCGCTGTGTGTGTGTGCAGTTGCTTTCGATAGTTCACGTCTGACTTGATAGAGTTTTGGAATCACTCTGCCCGAGCGGCAGAACGAGCTTGCGGAATATGATGGATGGTGATGGAATCCAGCCGATCAGCCGATCGGCCTGCTTTTCCTCGGCCACGCAGTTCGGATGGCCACGCGATTGAATGACAGACAAGCACGCCTTTTCCTCTTCGCTGGAGCAGATCGTGGTGGATGAGGAGAGTTGTCCAGATGGTTGTGCTGTTCTGATTCTGACCTCCCCGCTCGGTATAGATCAGAGGAGGGCTCGGCTCGCTCAGCTTTCCATATATCAACAAAGCATACCTCCCGGTTCCAAGATCGAACCAATCACTGCTCGGATGCATGAAGTTCAGCTTACTGCGTGACTTCGTCAAATCTGTGGTCATCACCGTGGTTGACCCCATGTTGTGGTCGCACGACCAAGCCACGACCGCTCAAGGTCGTGCAGTAAGACCTATCCGAGGATTGACGGTGAGAAGGTATTTAGAATTGACCGATGTATATGTGGTACTATATGTAGATTCTTCAAAATGGTTGCCAAAGGGTAGATCACCAGTTTAGCTCGAGCAGATTAGACTGTTGTGATGGTTGAATGCACCAAAGACCTTTGAGACCATGTCCATTCCATCATTCCATGATTGATCATCCCACTTGCATGGTCCACTAGATGGGCGGCCAGTAGAGAAAGGGTGTGGGGACAAGGCAAACTGGCTCGGGGCCGTAGTCGGCCTGCGCGACTACCTACACTTGTGCAAATGTCTGTGCTCGGTGTTTTGCATGCCAGAGCTTACGTCCAAGGCATGCGCCCCTCACTCGTGGACGTCGACCGCAATATGTGGCTTGAAATGATGTTTTTTCTCTGTCGCATTGCATGCTGCGCATGGCCTTTGCCATTGACAAATGGTTGCACAGAAAAAGCGGCACTGGCAAGGCAAAGTCGTGCAGTATCTGGCACAGTCATGCTGTGACGTTCATGTTATCAGCCCGGGGTTCTCAACTGTTAGCTACTTGCTATTGCCTAGCTTGACATGACTTCGTCTGCCTGAAAGAGTCGTTATCCAGGTCGGGTTAGCCACCTGCATTCACTTGAACGGACATTTCCACCCGGAGAGAGACGGCTGCGTGCCATCGTCGTGGGAGGACTATGAAGCCTGGCGGTTGCTCTGTAAGGGGTCGTACCATTCGAGTGATGCGATTTTGCAAACAGTTCGGATCGCGCACTTACCTTTCGTAATTGTAGGCAAGCTGCAGGTGTTCGCATGGACCATCATGGACCCAAGGTGTCATTCGTGACTGTTTCACGACAGTAAGACCTTGATCCACACTAATTACATTCCAGGACATTCCAGAAAAAATGTTGTCAGTGGCGTTCGGATCCGCATTCAAGAAATGCACTCGAGAAGAAAGGCTCACCTCCACGCTGCTTCACAACCTTTTCCGGGTGAAAACTGAAAGATGGATTGTGCTGTGAGTTTGCGAGAGGCAGCCACACACCTTTCATGCAACAGTTCTGAGCAGCAGAGTTCGTCTTCTGGCGTAATTGCAAAGTCCCGTGCTGGAATTTGCGGCTCATCCAAGGAAAAGAATTTGTGCTGGATTTGCCCGAACCTGAGCAAACAACTCGATCGCTTCAGACTGTCCTGACTGACAGGTCCTATGTGAGGGTCCCAACAGCTTGCTCAATCTCCCGTTTTCTTGACGTTGACAAGTCATGGTCTCTAGCCATAAGGCTGCTTCCTAAGACTGAAGGCTGAAGGTATACGGAAAGTGGTGGGAAGCTAAACTAAAACCTGCGACGGGTCCATGAGTTGCATCCTTCGGAGCAGTGCAGGTCAGGACGGGAATGCCGAGTGGGACCTTTGGTTGTCCTGTGGCCACATGTTCTGCAAGAGATGCTCAGAGACGATGCTCAGGCTCGTGAACTGGAAAGCTTCGGGAACTAGGAAGGAACAGCCTTCGCGCATTTAGGTGAATACAAGCAAGTGGAATGAATCTCGAACATGTGGGAAGGAGGCGGATGCCTTGCCCATTATGCAGAAGAGCTTCAACGGTCGTGCAGCGTGGATTCAAATACGAGGCGCTTCAGCCCGTTGCCTTCGTGAGTAGAACTGTCTGCCGGAAGCCTGTCTTGCAATGTGTCGCTGGAATAGAACTTGAACCGCAATCCAGCATGCATTTTCGAGAGCGTTTAATTTCATGATCCTCGGTTGCTCGAAAAGGTGGCGAGCCATGGAGCGTGACCTTGCACAGCTACATGGTACTACTGCCCAGGTTTTCTGGGCTTGGTTGAGCAAATAGCGGGTCACAAATACGGGTTGCTCTTCTGCAACTTCAACTACAGTAGCCAGCGCCAGACCTGAAGGTGCAGTCGCAGGATGTGCCTTCTTAGAGAGGTATGCCAACAGGCCAAGCATGTTGTGATTCGTGACTGCCTTTTGATGCCTTTTGGCTTCGAAGAAGCAAAGCCTGTAACAAAAGGCCAGTTGGATGAGTGTCGGATGTTTGTTTTACCCATGTATTTGCTCTGAATATCGCCGATTCCTAGGGCAAGAATCCACGGGCGCTGTCGTTGCTGCGTTTCACCAACGCCAGACCAATGCCGTCTGAGTCGGGAAACGTTCAAAGACTTTGTCAGATCCTACCCTGATTCTAAGACATGTGAGTTGCACGATGAACCTGGAGTATTGATGCAGAAGGTGTGTGGCAAGCTTACCGAAGCACGCTCCATTGACCCGCTCTCTTTTCGTGTACATTTTCGACTCAAATCACTTTCCTTCTCCAGTCTGGTGCCAGCCTCATCTGCCAGGGACGCCGAACTAATTGTACAATCATGAATCGCGAAGTGGATGAATCGTGCTGCCGCCGCTTTGCGCCTTGTTTTTGGATTTTTTTAGGGCTGAAATCGTGCTCTCGCCACAGTCCGAACTGCTGGATATGGCGAAGAGCTTGCCAGGGCCACGAGATAGGCCTTTTCCAAAGTTGGCCATCGTATCCCGCCACAGTGCCGTGCGTATTTCGCGGCAAGTAAAGCATCGTCTTCCAGCCACTTCCGCTGCGCTCATGCGTGCTTTCGCCAAAGTGTGAATATTTCGGGTGTGACTCGTGTTTCCGCCTCCAACATCCTCCCGCCACAGTCTAGTCGTGCACAGTTACAATAATTAGATTCATGGTGTCTTGGGAGCCTCAGGGGTGCCTGGAATGGTTCTTGGATGTGTAAGGGTGGCTTGGACTGCCAGGATCTGCCAGGTGCTCTTGAACTGTCTTGGGCTCTTGGCGTCTGTCTAGGAGCGATTCCCAGCAGCCCGCGTTCCAAAGAGGCGCCGGCAGCCGTGGCAAGCCAGCATCGGAGCAAAAAGTTGCGAGTTTCAGAAACGCGGTGTAAACAATATGTAGTTTCTTTTTCATGTGGCAAGAAGCTGCCAGCAGCTCATGGGCACGTGACTCAAGTGCTCTCGATTCGGGCTTCATGTTCTCTGTTGGTGGTTTGGGGTGGGGATTGTCCAGCCATCATTCTCTAGCCTGCTGGTTGATCCAACCAAATACCGTCACTGGTGGTTTGCTTGGTTTCCGGACAACTTTCCGGATGGGTGCTCCTGCCTGCTGTCTTCGGCTGTGCGTCTGGCCCGAGGCTTTTTAACTTTAACGCTTCAGCAAAACTGAAGCCTTCATTCGCCCGTCATGGCGGGATTTTTCCGACGGCGGCAGCGTAGCCCCCTGTCTGCACGGAGCCGTGAGAACCAAATTGCCAAAGCTCGGCATGGAAGCGGCGACACCGAATCAGGGCCTTGTGTGAGAGCTTCTCCCACCACTCCCAGTCCATCCCTTGCTGCAAGATGCAGTCCAGGCTGCCTGTCTGGCATCATCGCATTGAGCGCTCTCGTGGTACTCTACAATGCCTTTGGGTCGGCCTTCGTCGGCCTTCCATGGCCGGCTTCGGGGAGCAATCGGGACTTGCACTGTGGACCTCATGAAAGAGACTCTGCTCTGCAGGAATTCCATGCCAATTGCAATCTATAAGTATTTTTGGCTGAGTGAACAGTCCCTGTGAAAGCATCGGCCATTCCAAAACTTCGAGCTCACGATCTCTGCGCTCGCTCGCTTCCTCGTCACTGCAGTCTCGCCTGCAGGCCGCAGCCGCAATCTGCCACCAAGCAAACGACGAGGCCACCAGGGCTTTGACTGCAGAGTTGTGTACTCACACACCTGTAAACGATCGTTGTTCCACGATGTTCCAAGCATCTTGTTACACTGCCGTGCCATGCAGTTCTAGCTTCATTGCCGCAGGTATGAGTCTTCCAAGCCGTGGGAGGCCAGAGACACAACAACGTCGATCCTCAGCTGCATGTGTCTTCGTGTCGTGCCGAATGGACCTTCCACGTATGCAGACCCGAGTGGTGCAGGAATGTGGAAGCCAAACTTGAGGAGCACATGAGCATCCCAGAGATCTTGCCCCTTGCCGCAGAGATTTGCATTTCAGAGGGTCTTTGGTGTTGCAATATTGCACTTGTGACAGAGCTCGCAGCGAGACTTGCAGCCCGAAGCATTGGCAGCTGTTCCTGCGACGGCACTCGCATGCATACCCAACCAGCCATCAGTTTTTCCAACTTGGTACCCGGTAGTGGAAGTCACTCTCATTCGCAAGGAATCGCTACGGCTTGCCAGCGCTTGTCTTCCACTTCGTGGTCCCTCAGCTGGCAGTCATGAGACGAGTGCAAGCTTTGAGGGTCATCCGGGTCGGGTACACAGAGTCGAGCAGAGTTCTGTTGTGTGTTCACGGTAGTCCTGCAGCGTCGTCTGTTTGGACCGGCTCAATAGGTTTTTCCGATGTGACCGGTCGCTGGCTGGCATGCAGCATTGGCAAGGCGAATATGCTAAAGTTTGCTAAAGTTCGCCTTCACGAGCAAAATGCCCTCTGGCCATCTCTAGCCCTGCTCCTTACTGACATGCCCAGGTTTGGGTGTCAACCCTGGGTTCGCTGTATTTTCTCTTCTACTTCAACACCAGCCTTCTCCAGATGCTTCCAGAGGAGTGCGGGTGGCATGCTTCCACTCTCTTCCCAGAACGGCTCCATTGCAGTGTACATCAAAGGTCTAAGGCCCAGAGAGGAACTTGCCCGGAAGTCGAGCTGTTGAGGTGCTGCCTTGCTCGCGCAGTAGGGGATTCCGTCTAAGCCTGCCAGTCGCACTACACTAGCAGCCACAACAAATCATCGTGCGCCGTGTCGTGCAGTTGAGGCTGCTCGGGTCAAAGACTGCCACTGTGGCCACAGAACCATACCCCGCTCAGCGTGAGCACGTGCAGGTGTACAAGCATTGCTGGGAGATGTTGGCAGTGCTCTGACAGGGTTTGCGCAGGAAGAAGGGTTGGAGCCTTCCGTAGAGCCCATGGGGCCAGCATCATGAGCATCATCGCCTCTCCACTTCGCTCTTCTGCACGTCCGAGTTGTTAGTTATGTGAATATCATGCTCCAGCCGCAAAGTCTAGCCCACAACGGGCCCGAAACCAGCTTTGTCAAGCAGGCCCTGCAGGCACAGGGCGAAAGGTGACTGGTGAAAGCCAATACATGTACAGGCATTTTGATTTTGCTGCAGTCCAAGTTGCTACAAAAATGCTGTGCACCATGCTGTGGCCCTTTGACCTGCAGCCTACTTGCGTCTCTCATTCTGCGATGGATCCGGGGCCGCCGGCGGCCGACACGCAGCTCATCGCATGCCTCCGAATGAGTTTACATAGTTTACATGCCTCCCTTCTCCACAGGGGCACTGAAGGCATGCATCTTGGATTCCGTAAGCCTCAAAGCCTGCTTCAACACATGATCGGCCATGCATGTACGTTCATGTATGTAGGTTTGTTTGAATCTGAGCGGCGCGTTTCAACGCCTTAGCTGTTCCTGATCGAAGAAAACAAGGTTTCTGCGCCCTCGTCCTTGTTCGCAGCAGCCTATGGAAATTTCAATCTAAACCGCAGCATGCAGGAGATCCAGCAGAGAGTTGGCGGACTCCTTAGCCGGCCTGGTTGGAACTCTGCAGACTTTTCGAATTCTTTGAGCATTGACTGGTTGCGGCGGTAGGACCTCGGCTAGTCTTGGTACTACACCGCTCAATATGCTCAAACCAGAATTCGAGGCGCTGGAAGTCAGCTGGGCTATGCTGCTGCAGCATTGGGAGCGGCTGAAGTCTTAGGCGCCGGTGATGTCACGAACATCTGCATCACACTCATGCTTCAAGTCCGACACGTGGGGGGCGGGAGTTGATTGAATGTTTCGGCAGGCGGCAGGCATCATGTATGCTAAGGATCGCGGGATGTCTGTCGCCCGATGTACTTAGAGAGACCCCGTCCCTCCTTCTTCCGCACTGGTGCCACTAGTGACTGGTGCCACGGAGGAGTGCCGACAGAAGGACTTGGGAAAGAAACCTGTGCACGTTGGCAATAACAAACCGTAAGGGTGAACTGACTTGACCTCCTCGCAGTGACAGTGTCCCTGCGCAGGCCCAGTGCGGTTGGCTCTCACAGTCACTGCCGCCCCCACAGCATCCAGGCGTGGTGTCATGCTGTGTTGTGTTCTGATTTGTTAGAGCCTTCGCCAAAGCCGATGATTCCCAATGGGGAAGTGGTTTCCATCCCACGGCGTTTTGTAAGTCGGACACGATTGTGTGCCGTCGGGGACACAGAAGCTCAAGCCGCAGACCTCTGTCGGCCACATCAATCAGCAGGCTGGCGCGGCAGTATGAGTGGTTCTGCAAGGCAGAGGAGATGATTGTATCACGGCTTTACATAATTCCGAACGGTTGGAGGGCCTAGAGCTATAGGTTCTGGGGTGAGATTATCTGACTATTTTATCACATGGGCTCGCTAGTGGGGCTGGTTTGGCAATCGTGAACTGCTGTCGCTCCTGTATTTGCACATTGTGATCTGGTTCCACCAGGTACACATCACGGGTTTCTCCTCTGACTAACTGTTAAAGCAGAGCCCGAACGAGAGCGAGCGAGAAAGAGAAGCAGGAGTAGAGCATTAACATGCAGACATGTGTCTGCTAATACTTCGAGCAGACAAGTGAAAAGTGATGCATGATTTGCGCTGCCTTCAGCATCCGTGCAGCTCAGGTGGGCAACATCCGAGAGTTTGCAACGAAGGTGTCACAAATTTTGATCAAAGCATGAGTCCGAGAGACTTGACTACTTGTAGGACATTCTGGTCGGACTAATGCGCCCACGTACAGGTGCATGCTACCGCGCGGAGTTGCAATGGTCAGGCTCACCTCCCTGCATCCCGGACGCATCCCCCCGGCAGCCACAAACTGACGGATTTCTCTCGTGCATACAGTGCATTGTCCTCCGCTACCACGTGCGTCTGAGAAGTTCATGTTTCTCGGCGAGAAAAAACCATAAAGTTGCAACTCGCGCACGCAACAATTTGCAAGACTCTTTTGTCTCACATCAGTGAAGGGCGCTCAGATCTGTAAATCGTCCTCAGATTTGCGCAGCAGGTTAAGACGTTGCGGTCAAGGGCTGCAGAAGATTGGCGGTTTCATTTTACATAGATACTCAGAATAAGGATTACTGCGAATGTTTCTCCAGCGTCTTTGTGCTCATGGATTGCGAGTCCACTGCTGGCGATACTGCAGGCGTTCATCCTGGTAACACCCGGCACAACAACTCAACTCGACACTTCCTTCATACCATAGAAGGAGATTCTATAGGACTGCCGGCAACGAGACTATTCAGAACATCCGTCAAAAAAATGGCTGATATATGAAATTATAGATCAGTTTGCGTTACCAAGGACAGAGAGGGCCAATTCAGAAGGGTCTCTTCCACGTTATCATTTCATTATCTCTACCGAAGATCACATGTCATTCTTTAATTTATTGGACCCATTGCGTCGCACACTTGTTGTTTTGTCGTAAGGCTTGATAGACTGTGGGACGCATTGCATGCTCTTTACCAGTTGTGTTGTAAGTCTACGGCACACTAATATGCAAGACACGTGGTGACATCATGGACATATCTCTTGCAAGACGATGGTTTCAGATTTTCTATGTTCTTCCGCAGCTACGGAAGCCGAAGCGTTGACCTTGTTTTCCTGGCCTGGAATTCCGATCGAGAATCAGCTTCCGCTGGCGTTGTGTCAAGGAGGCTAGGACCTTTCGACTTCGGTTTTGGTGTGTGCCTCATGTTATCACTTACTTCTCTCTCCTTGAAGCTCCGAAGCAAGAGCCAATTCAGGCAAAAAATTACGCATCACGGCAACAGTGCGACGAGTTCCAAAACCCGCATCTCCCAACCCTTAGCCGTTCGGTGTCGAGGCCTGCCGAGTTTCAGGGATAGTTCTAGCTTCATGTTTATGCTACTTTGAATAAAGCAGGTCCCCCGGCTCAGGTTTTGGATTTGCCGCAGCAGTAATGAGATGTTCCAATTCATTCCTGTGAAATCCCGATCGTTTGAATTTAATCGATCGTTTTCTAAAGTTGCACAATCAGTTATAATTTCAATCGCTTGGGAAACCTCTGAAGAGATGCCTTTCGAAGGCACCCCAAAGCCTATAGGTTGAAATTTAATTCGTAAATATCTCGAAACCTTGCATTATGAAAACAGTTCTATAATTAAATAATCAATTATAGGTTTAGTTTATTTATTCTATACTGCAGGACAGCCAGCGGTACATAGCGGTACGCAAATACGGAAGTCCCAATGTGTCGTTGGGAATGTCGTGGAGAGATCGGCGAGAGCGAGTTTGAGGGGAGTGTTGCGGGGTGGCGGGCGAGGGTGTGTGTTGTGGAGAGTATCGCGGAGTGGTGGGCGAGGGCGAGTCGAGGTGAGTATTGGAGTGGCGGGTGAGGGGGCGTGAATGTCGTGGGGAGTGCGTGCGAGGGCGAGGGCGTGTACTGTATGTCGTAGGGGGAGTGAGGAGAGTGTCGTGGAATGGCGGGATATTCGATGGCGTGCGCGTCGTACATGTAGGGAGCGTCGCGGATTGAAGGCCGCATGCATGCGTTTGGAGTGGGTCTCGGCGAAGTGCAGTGAACGCTCGCAGTTGGGGAGTTTACGAGGGAGTGTTGCGGATGGGGTGGGGGGGGCGTGTGGGGAGTGGCAGGCATGGAGGTCACGGAATTACGGAATGGTGGGCGAGGGCGAGTTTGAGGGGAGTGTCGTTGAGCGAACGGCGAGGAGGAATCGTGAGGGCGTGGAGATTTTATAGAAATCGTTATATGAGAGTGTGGATATGGTCGAAGTGATACTATGATTAATACAGAGAAAATTTATTTTATTTTTCAAGCCATTTTTAACATTATTAAATAAGCTATGATTAAATATTAATATTTTTATTTAATAAATTTAATTTCGATTTAATATTATTTGAATATAAATCTTTCCAGATATCCGATAATTTAAAATTTAAGTCTATTTTAAAATATTCGGATATTATCTAAAATAGTTATTAAAAGAATTTTTTGTAATCTAAAAAGATTTTATAATATATTTTGGCATAAATATTGGTTATAGGGATTATTTGAAAGAAATTTATTTATAGGATTTCTACAAAAAAATTAGATATCTGAAAAAAATATAATTAATTAATTTGTAATTATACATTTCTATATATTTATTGAATATCTCTATAATTTATAGGAATTTTTTTCTTTTTTCTAT